TGGCAGTAAGATTCTCTAATCGGCTTATCGCGGGGCAGCAGCGCCTGCACCTTAACATATTTATAAGGACGTAGTTTGTTCCTTTTCAGCACTCGGTGTATTGTTTTATGCCTCACTCTAAACACACGCCCAGCTTGTCTAAGGCTGCAGGTTGGATTCCGATCGAAATGGTCTAAGACTCGTTGTTCGAACGAGGGTGGAAAGTGACGCGGAGCAACTCCTTCATGAGTGTTGGGCACTATGCGCTGATTTTCCCTGATTCTTTGGACAGCACCTAGGATTCTCCGGACGCTAGTAGGGCAGACGCGAGTTGCGCCGTATCTCTCACTACAAGTACGCAGAGTTAACGCTGAATTTTGGTGGCATTCGCCATACAATAAAACCATGTCTGTATACTCTGCCGCACTGTAAAAATGCTGTTGTCTTGGCATTTTCCGCCGCCAAAACGTATACACAAAAGTCAAGTAGTGTCAATATCACAGTGAAAAAATAATAAAAATAAACGTACTTAAAACACTATTTACACACACAAAGTCAATTAACTAATAAGTGTCTATTTCACCGTAAAAGAATTGTTCGACTAATTGTATTTATCTTACGATAATACGATAATTATCTTAGGATAAATAATTGCGATGCGTGTAGGCAGCGAAACACACTTGTATTCTGGGAGAATTGCGCGTGAAATGGAAGCCGAATTTCCAAATTCCAAAATGGCGAAAATAATAAAAGTAATAAATAGGGCGGCCACAAGGTGCAATTATCGTTTATCGATACTTTTCTTTTTACACTTGCTTACCTACTACGTTTGAATACAAGTAATTTAGATTTTTGATTTGATAACAATCGACAAGTTATTGATTGTTAAAAAAAAGTTTATTTTTATACGATTGAACTATACGAAACTACCGATTTATAACTTCCTGGGAAACGGGTAAGTATGTATGACTTTTTAATTGGTTGTTTTTATGGGTTTTTTAGCATGTTAAAATAATTTATTATCTCTAAATCTACAAGAACACACTTAAACAAAAAAGCTTTAAAGTTTAGCTTTAAATACTTAGGTCGTAGTGTTTTTAGAATTATCATAACAACACGATTATTCTAAAAAAACCATACCCTAAGTGTTTAAAGCTAAACATTTTTTTGTTTATCGATTATTACTCCCTTTGAAAGAAGCTAATCGTCGATAACTGGTGTCCTACTCTACGACAAAGGCGCGCGCGCACTTGCGCTGTCGCCTTTGAAGTACGCCGCGTGCCTCGTGCCGCTTGTTTATGGACGCCGATAAAAGACACCGCTGTCGATATGTCGCAATACCAATAGTTTGCACTGCGTGGCAACGTCGCTTTTTAATGTTCAAGGATTCAAGTTCATTGAATCATTGACTTAGTGACCCAATTCTATAGAGAGTTCAAATTTGCTTAAAATTAAAACTCTACTTTTTGACCTAATTACTGGACCGATTACGTTCATTTTTTGTATATCGTCAGCAAAGGCGATAACAAGTATATGGTTTCATTTATTGCATATATGTGGGACCCATTCTGTATATAATTAACCCTTTATAAGGCAGAGAGAACCAGAAAAGGTTCGAAAATGAAATTTTAGTATGTTGTTAAGGACACATATAAGTATTTTTGCGAGTTTTTCAGTTCGGAAAATCTTCGGAAAATAATCGGAAAAAACTGGTAGCACAATATGTTCCTCAGCCCATCCGAGGTAGCAGTAAAGTGGCATAATTTAACACGTATAATGATGCGTCAGCCACATGTGGCTGACAGCATAAACTTGTTTTCAAAGTACGATTTGGGCGTTTTCGGTCAGGTTTTTCGTATTAAATTGTATGCCGTATGGCTCTCAAGGCCTAGTAAATTATAACTATACTGATGGCACTGCAACTTTTACTTATACATATTTTGAAAAATTTTAAGCTGTAAAGTACAAACAAAGTACTGATGAGAAAAATAATTGGTTTTTATGCGGTTTTTACAAAACAAAACAAATATATAAAATGTTTTAATCTTTTTTAATTATATTCGAATTGGTATCAGTGACATTACGAATCAAATCTACATCAATAATCATGTTCAAACATATTATCTGTTGTTTAAATTGAAACGATTTATGTAGTGCGGCTCATTCGGATAATCTTCGCAATAAGTTACCACTCTTTTGGTTTTATTTCTCGCATGCACTCTTCCAAATTGGGCACAGTTTTCTTTATAACATCTGACGCAATATTTTCGACAGGCAGAAAGCTTTTGGACAATATTTAAAGAAGAATGCCCACTTCCCATACATTGATTGACCTTTCACTTGATTTGTTTTACAGGGCGCGTCTACCTACAAGTGCTGTTGCATAAAATCAATTATTGTTTATAATAACATAATAACTTATTACCTTTTCATTTAGAGGCCAGGGAAAAATGCTATTAAGTAAATAAGTTTTTCAGGTTATGACAGCTGTCAAACCTTATTTGACAGCTGTCGCAACCTCAAAAACTATACGTTTATAATCAAATTGTTTCTTTCAGGTATACAAAAAGTACTCTGTTATTGTTTCTTAATCGCCGAGAGAGTTACAATCACTCAGAAATAAATCCCTCTTCAATGTAATATTATCATCTGTGCGCGGTCACAAATAGCAGTTACGTTTTCGTAATATCTCGCCTATGTTGATTTTTAGACTACACTTTATGCAAATTAGAACAATATACGTATAGTTCATTTAATTATCGGTCAAAATCTGTCGTCGTAACAGATTGACTCAAGGAGTCGTCCTGACAGGCGACGCTTTCTGCCATCGAACTCTAAAAGTCTGATGAACAGAGAAAGAGAGTAAATAATACCTAATATAAGCATAATAATACGGCCCCACTGCTGGGAAAAGACCTCTTTTCATACAGAGAAAGCAGCAGCATTAATCACCAAGCAGAGTCAAGATGAGTTGGCAGTTTCAGACTTTTATTTTGATTATTATACTTCTACCATATGATTATTGAGTTCAGGTTGCCTCACGATGTTTTCCTTCCCCATTGTAAGATAAACTTAGAAAATACGTACCTACGCATTGAAAGACACACATTGGTACTTGCCTGAATTTGAACTCACAGCCTGTGCATAAGAGGCGAGTTGTAACCTATGGCCCATAGGTTACAACTCGCCTCTTATGCACACAACATTAATAGATAACAAAAAGAGCTACCTTTTCTACATGTTTTTGGCGAGAACAGGGAAATTAAATAAAAAACACGATTTGATTTATTTTTATTTATTCATTGTCTTCTCGTATGACCACTTCATCTAAAAATGCAGCTGGAGGCTCAATATTGGTTTCATGCCTGGCCCAACCCAAGTACCACACCATTGTCATAATATGCGCACAACAACCTACAGTGCGACGTCCTACAATGCAGTTACAGCAATACTCTACAATGCCTTCTCGTCCATCAACACCATTTGCAATCAAAATGTACACATAGTACTGACGTCTTGAGATATGTCTAGACTTTATTTTTCCTTTTATAAGTGAATTTTCCCCACTGCCTAACTCAGGTAACGTCAGAAACGTACGTGTTCACCATAATATGAACGCGCTTGGCGAATTTGGTACGTTCCCAAGGCGAATAATATTAATTCACTGTATTCTAGACGGGGAAACTCAATATTAGCAGTATCAGCTGTAATGCTTTGAAAAAAGGATGCCCGGCGATTTAAATTATATTCTGTAACTATATTAATTAAGTTATTTTCCAAGGGCATCCTTTCATTTATTATACCAAGAATTTGAGCAGCATCAGCTCTATTGCGAAGACGAACACCAAACTTATTTATTAAACTTGCAGCAATTTGGAAATAAGCCATCATATTTGGTACAGTTTTATTAAAATTGTCAAACCTTAATAATCTAAAATCTCTTTTAAAATATCCATTTACAACCTCCACCACCCATCTGCAAATAGTTACACATCTACTTCTATTTGCTTGGGTGGTGGTTAACTGGTGTTCACCTTCCAAAAGTGACTCTGGCATATATGCCTTATAATTACAATGCTCCAATAAGCTGATGCTGTCTCTGAATCCCCTGTCTAAAATAAATATGTCATTATCTTGAAAGTATTGTCTCAGTGGGGAATTTTCGTTGCTGAACAAAGAAGACATTATATCGGCATCAGATGTGGTAGCTTTGTATGGGCCAAAACAATCTAAAATGTAACCGTCACAGGCAACTATTAAAAATGGCTTTAACAGATTTCTATATTTGTGTAAAGAATATGTGACTTTTTGAAACATATAATTGCAACTTTTATTTAAAAAAATGTATGTTCCATCACACATCACAATACATTGTTTATTATTTTCATTGTAAATTCCATTCGGAATGATTAGATTGTGTTCTATTAATTGTTCTCTCGGCAAGTGATTTATTCCAAGGTTACATGGAACAAAATCCTGTAGCAGTACCTCTCGTGCTGTTTGCATTAACCTCTCTAGTGTAGTACGAGGAACTTCTAGCAATGTTGATATTCTTAAGTCGGAATCACCTGTCCGCATCTTTATCAATACAGCAGCTAGACCTAATACACCCCTATGTTTTTCCAACAGTCGGGGAAGGTCTTCTAACAAATTAAGGAATTTCAATTTTGACAAGCCAATCCAAAATTCAAATAAATTGTCATCAATTTCTTGTAATGATTCTATGCTTGAAAAATCGAGAAAATGCTTGTATTTTTGAACAAAGGAAAAAACATGCTCAACTTGTTCAACAGTGAAATCGCTCATGCTGTTTTCACTGGTATAAAGGGAACTCCAACTGTTTCCATGTAAATGGTATGTGCATACTCTTGCCAGTTTGGGAATATAAAAATTGTAGTTGCACAAAATGGTAGCCCGCAGTGCATCTGACACAGTATGCAGATTTTCATTTTCACACCCATAAAATGCACAATGAGATGCTGTATTGGGAGCACGTTTATAATTATGTAATGTAATGTTACTTGATTGTTGGGTTTGAGATTGTAGCGAATGAACCTCTGGAGCTGCAACTGATTCTACAGACGAATCCCTTTCATCTGTACTTGCAAGAAACGGGGGAGGTTGTAATTCTGGAACATGAACTGCATCAACAGGCTGTTCCACTTCTTCTTGACCGTGAGGAGTCTCATCACCTTCTAAGCCTCTTCTTTCATCCTGTTGTTGAGTTAAAAGAGCTTGTCTTTTAAACCTCAACCAACAGGCATGACATACACGATCATATTGTGATATCTGTCAACAAAAAAACAACATATTTGTAATAAATGCAGTGACATACCTAGTAATGTCATAGATTAGAATGTGAAGTTTAATGAAAAAATTGCATGCAGTTTAAAATGAGATTGAATATTTAAATACAAACCTGACGAGGTGCTACAGTAGCTCGAATTAAGTTGATCATTCTTAGTGTGAGGCTTGATGGGTTTTCTTTTTGAATATGGTCACTTTGACGATTGAGCAATGATCGACCACAAACGGGGCACACTTGAGTATGACCAAGGCGAGATGAACAAGCAGATGGATGACACTCATTGTTTCCATGAATTTGAGCATTAATAGACTGCATGGATACATCAAAGCACGCTTCACAAATGTAGTCCTCTTCCGTAATCTGAAAAATAAATCAATTATGAGATTATAAAGCATAAATTGAAATAGGCACATTTAATTTGTATTTTTACATGTTTTATTTTTTATTTTAGACAACTGTCCTAAAGGACACTTTAGCTAAACATGGGTAAAATCTTACTACTACTATTGTATTGTTGTATGTTATATGTTATATGTTGTATGTTATTACTACTTACTATTACTGGAGATATCCAAGTGCTAATTAGCGAGATGACTCTGCTATCAAGCTGAAGGGCCCGATAACGCTGAAGCGTATTAATACATATGTTACAGTTTATACATAGCATTCTCGTAGAAGGCTCCATAACGCTTTCCAACAAGTACGATAACGTCTTAGATCCCAATCAAAAAGCTAAATCGGTATCCGTATTACACAGGCCAAAGTAATCGTGAGTGGAAGGTATCGAAGTCCGTGGAAAATGCAAGTTGTAAGGGTATCAGAAAATCCAAAATCGCACAGTACAAAACGTAGGGAAAGCTAACGAACGACTGCAAAACTTCAAACAAATGACGGACTGTCATTGACAAACACGTTTTTTTAAATATGTTTTGGCATGGCTTCTGGGCCTTTAAGTTATTGTAGAACTCGTTCCGTCTCCAAAAGTCTATTGAAAGTGATAAACATATTAACATTACTCTTTTTCCTGGCTTTATTAGAAAATTCAATTATGCGATTCGAAATAAGCAAAAAAAGAGCAATTTTATAAGATATTTTACATCACTAGACGCTTTCGAAAATTTTCGACAGGTCAGAATTGGACATGATTCTTTGTATCATGTACAATTTTCGTAATTATTGCGTCATTCATGAATTGAGAAAAAAATTGGAATGGAGTTTGCAGGTCGGCTATTTCTGGGGGTAACATGCTAAGAAGGAAATACGATCTTCATTACATACCAAATTACGCTTTTTCCTTATCAGTTCTCTGCTACGAAATCTCCAAGCTGCAATTCCGAGAATACCCGGTACTGATAGAGCAGATGAAGGCACTGGAGTAGTTGGTCAGTCGAAGATTCAGCAGATTCAGTAGGTTCTTCTTCAGATACAAGTGGAGTGTCTTCATCGACTTCCTCATTATCATTATCAATATCCAACTCGTTCAAAATATCTTGTACATTTAGATAGTAATCAATATCATTTTCGTTCCCTATGTCTTCCTCGTCATCTGAGATGTTCCCCTTTTCTAAACGCCTGAGAAGGCCTTCGATATCTCCATCACGCATCTTACGAGACCTGCTAAAAAGGAAAAACAAAAACAAAAGTCAAACAAAAGTTATACACAACCAAACGCATAATGTAGACATGGGAACATTTCGATAAACTGACTTTACATAAAATCGAAAATAAAGTAGACGATAAATGTGTGAAAAACCTATAACTTACCTTTTTTCCAACTTGATATTTATTTTTCTAACCACGCAGACTTTAGTTTTTATAAAAACTATAAAAATCTATATCTTCGTTCCCGCCAATACACACACTTCAACACTTACTCAGCTCTAATGACGTATGATAGAAAATTTCCGCCAAATTTCATGATGGTTTTTACTTTTTTTATTGTCTATAGTCTGCGTCCATTTTTAGGATTCGTTCACAAACGTTTACCTGTCAAAACTTTTTTAACGAAAATGAAATCGTTGCCATTTGGCAACACAAACAAAAAAAAATCCCGTATCTTTCCAAAATTGACTAAAGTTTCTACTTAAACAAGATGCCGAAATCTTATCTATGATTATTTGATCAGCGGATTTTGGCAAAACCTTAACCTACTTTTAAGAATAGTTCGCGTTATTTTCATTTCATCGAAGAGCGGACCAGAAGAAGCTGCCCCAGCCATTTACCACCCAGCTCGTGCTCGCCGTGCCATCGCGTGTGCCTCGCGTACATACTTATTCCATCCTGTAACAGTCGACCTCTGGACGACATGCTGTAACACGCGACGTGTGGCCGCACTTTTTATACAACTAATGAAAGAGTTATAGAAACTATCTAGGTATTCGCGATGTTCAGTACACGGACAGCTATTATATTCAGCAGATAAATACCTTAACCTCTCCCAATTCAAATTTCGTATATACTCAGAACAAAGAGAGGAATAAAATTCAATTTCGATACCATTTCTTTTACCCCATTTTGACAAGTTGCAGCACACACCAAATCATTATCTGTACATCAATTAAATAACTCTAAACCAAACAATGTATTCACATCTGCATTAAAATCACCTAAAATAAAAGCATAATTAATATCCTTATCTAAAATAATTGATTGTATAATACTTAAAATATTTTTAAAATCAGTTAAACTTTCATTATTATTTTGAGGCATATATACAGATACACACAAATATTTATTACCACACATTTCTATAATAACTGCACATAAACTAGAGTTGTTACAATCAACAATCTCCACCTTATTAAACATTGACGACTTCCACAATAACCCAACCCCTCCAAAGTGCCTACCCTGTAACATACCTTATGTGACGTCCACCGCTGATGAACCATGACTAGAAAATTTGGTATGTAATAGTGTTTAAGTAGGGAATTGCATCGGGTAGTAGCCAGGTTTCCTGCAATGCCATTATATCAAAGTCGTTACATAATTCCCGTATTTGTTCAACACTACGCCTGATTGATTGACAATTAACACTTTGACAACCAATAATTTTGTAACGCGCATTCCCCTCTACGCCGGCCTTTTACGGCATTTTTGTAAGTTTTATATAAAAAGAACTAAAAAAGTAATACATTTAATTATTTTTGTATATGCTGGAATAACTAATTTATTTTTACAATAAAAAATAAAACAAAGTATATTAAATTTATTTTGTTTAGAAAATCAAAACATTAATACCTATTTTCTACAAAAAAAAAAAAACTTACATAATCGAATACGAAATCTTTCTTAGTATGATACTTTTCAAAGCATGGATAGTGACAGAGTGGAACATTACATTCTGAACAGTAAAACAAAGTTTCCTTCCTTCCCCGTTTGCCTGTCTTTTTTTATAGTGTTCGACCTTGCAGACTTTTGTGACTTTTGTGTTTGTCGCAGTCTGCGGTATTCGTCTATGGAAGTGTCTACCCACCAACCTAGTAGACTTTGCAGTGGGATGTGGACCATGAGATGGTCCAGCAGCACTATCAGCTCCAGCAGACCGTACATTCTCCAGGAGAGCGTCGCCGCAGGTGTTTAGAAACTGAGAAAATTTCGGTCTCCGTGCCTGCGTTCTTGATTTATTATAAATTATGTACGCGTTCACCGTTGCTCTAGCCACTAAATGGAAAAACATCTTCTTCCACCATTTCATGGACTTCCTGTGCAGGGAATAATATGACACGTACTGGTCATTTAAGTCAACCCCGATTTTGTGTAATCCAAAACACAGGCTTGATTTTTTTTGTGGGTCCTCCTTTAGCCTTTACTGTGACCTCCGTCCAGGAGGCGGCGTGCTTTGTTGTAAGGAAGTGGACATCCCGCTTGTCTTTCCACTTACAGGCTGTTAAATTTCCGCAGTGAAAGAAAGCCATTTCGTGCGTCACAGTGCCAACGATGCGTGTGTTTCTAAGCCAAAACAAATCGGCTACAGTAGGGCTGGTGAAGTATCTGTCCATGTAAACAGTATGCCATTTGTCGAAGTAAGACTCGTTGAGTTCTGTGACTATTTGAGTGACAGTTTTTGAGTCACCAACGTAAGGTATCATTCTCAAAATATAGCCAGTCTCAGTGTCGCACAACATGTAGATCTTCATGCCGTCCTTGTCGGGCTTGTCTTTATTGAACTCGGAAATGGATTCTCCTCTGAAACCACAAGTTCCCTCGTTAATAGTCAATTCTTCCCCGGGGTAGAAGCTCTCCTTACACAATTTACTGAGCTCATCGAAGTATGGTCGCAGCTTGAAGAAGGCGTCGTAGTTTGGTTGACCCCGTGCGATGTGCTTAGAATTATCGTTTAGATGTAAACAGCTATAAATAGCCCTAAACCGAGCTCTTGTCATTATTTTGCTAGCATAGGGTGTATGAATAATTTCTCTAGTTGACCAGTACGAATCTAAAGTTTCTTTCTGAACTAAAGTCATGTGAATAATTATGCACAAAAACTCTTTCATTTCTGAAATTGTGACCGGTTTTCAGCTGTGCAACATAGTACCTGGTTTTAGCAGAACTTGTCTAGCCTGCTTTGATTTCATTTGACCTGCATATCTATTGGTTTCCATTTTTAGTAGCTTCCAAAAAGACTCGGGGGGGGGGGGAAATGAAAAAACAATCCAATTCGGATGAATTCTCGTTGATATTGGGGGCTAAAACTTTTTTAACCTGTTTGAAAACGGGGTTTTCAAGAGGCTGTTCTCTTGGTGTATACGTCCACCCGATGGGTTCATCCATTTCTTTTAGGTTAGTTGTCGAACGCGACGATCGTTCTAGAGTAGATGAAAGTGCGGTCCGCCCCCGCTGATTTCGTTGACCTCGAACTGCCCTCCGTGCACGTTCCGGAATACTGGTTTGTTCAGGTTCGAGTCTAGGGACATTCATCGGCATATTTTCAACACCCTCCTCCTTTTCTTGGACATTCAAAACTCAAAGTTTTTTCGCAGTCATTTACAAAAACAACTAGTACTTATATATACCTGAATATAAAAAAATTACCTTCAATTTCCTCCTCCACACATGACTCCACATCCGAGTCTTCATCGTCGCACAAAGCTTCCACAATATCATTCGATGCAAATCGATAGTCGCGTCGTGACGAAGTCATTTGGCGCCAAAAAATACGTAAATGAACACACTGAACGTAACCACCGCGTGTTTGTGATTGCACGCCGGGCAGCTCTACGCATTCCTCGCAATATCTCCCCTTGCACCCCTCCGAACCTCCTTACGTAAATGAATCCTATGTGTGTGAACTAAACAATGTAGCTACAAACAAAAAAAATGCCGACCCCGTTATTTCCTTGAATTTTTAGAATAAATTCAAGGAATTCCGATGACGCGCTGGGGTTGTGATCGGCGCACGGACCAAAACTAAGCGTCACGACCCAGGGTCATGTTAAAACAACAAAGTTTCATAATTAAACTAAACTAATATTAACTATAATCAAAAATCTACAGAAATAATGAAAATAACTTAAAATTCCTGCTATAATTTGTTACTATTATATAATAATTACTGTATATAGTATCTATATTACTAAAATTCTTGTATAACTATATAACATTACAATTCCTAGTGTCTATCGAATTTCAGAGAGAGACTCTTCTACTCCTCTTTTTTGTCTCCAGAAATTGCCAAAACGCCGAAATACTATTCCCTCCGGCCAAAAGTCCTTATTCAGAAATATATCTAGTTTAATTCTAGGTACAAATATTTTATATGAATCGTAATCCTTTTTAACTTTCATATTCATTTTTTCAATGGTCACTTCAATACTAGATCTATTCCTAATGTAGCTTGTTATGTCACACACAGATACATCTTTCGGTATGTTATAGATATATGAAGGAATTTTTATGTCGGCCGCTTTGAAATGGGCATTATCATCAACCATAGCATTTCCTCTATTTCCAATAAAACGATTCCTTCTTCTTCTTTTCTGTACTTCAATCCATTCTTCGCTACACGACTCTGTCTTCCATTGTCCATAACGTACGACATCTGCAAAACATCTTCCTTTTGAAGTTGTGTTTATGCAGCAGCCGTGTGCCCCTCCGCCGACACAAGATTGGATCGCTGCGGCCTATGAATCATAGGTTCGAGTTGCTTCGCTGCTGATATGTTGTTAGATATCTCAGCTAGAATGTTTTTACTACTACCGTATATATTCATAGTTGAACATACATCGTTGCAATATTTCTGAGATTGAATTTTTGATTCACAATTATTCGTATGGCATTTTTCGTCACTAGCTTGCCTTTTATTTAATGAATTTGAGATTATATAATTCAATTCCGTTGACTTTACATATGAACATTGAATCTTATGCACGTCTTGTTTTAGTCTCAATATATCTTTTAGCAACGAAGATACATCAATATGATCGAATGTAACTGGGGGCAGGCGATTTAAATCCTTCGCAACAAAACTTGGGAGAGTGTCCGGATCATTTTCCTTAAATATTTTTATAATATCCTATACAGGGTGGTCCAAACAGTGAGGTTATAAATTTTTTTTTTGATTCCTCACACCTAGGGGTATCCGAAAATACTCTATGTATGTTACGCGATTTTTTGTAGTTTTCGAGTTATGATTTTTTTTTACCCTTTTTTTTGAAAATATTCACCCTAAACAGCTTAACATTAAAAAAAAATGTAATTGTGAAATTTTTTCCAAGTTGTTTGTTGATCCTTATGATTTGCCCTATTATGCATAAAATAATTAGCTTCCTAACATTCACCGATGATACAATAATTTTAATCGAACCTTAAAAATTTTCTGTCAGGAGAGTGGGGCTTGAATTTTCAACATTAAATGAAAAATAGTAATAAACGATTTCATACTTTCTAATTAATTTTAAAAACTTGGCAGTACCTTAATCTTTCATAATAACATTAAAAAATGACAAATAGGCCAGTTTTTCTATTACAGACTTCTGAAGTCACTCAGGCATGAAACTACCTGAATAGTTAATTTGATTTAAAAAATCTTTTTATCATTTCTAGGGCTAAACTAAGATAGTAAATGCTTCAGGTTAGCAAAAATAACATCAAGTGTCTTTACTTATTGTTTAAAATTTATAGACAACAAGGTATCACTTTACTACGTTCTGGACAAATGATTTCAAGATTCATAATAAAAGTAGTAAATAATTTAAGATAAATTTATTTAAAGTAAATTTTCGAAATGGCCTTAAAAATTTGCTTTTAGTCTTCGAAAAGCATTCGTATTTTCTTTGATTTTTTCTGCGCACTGTCTCAATTTTTCCCTTAATTCATTTTCCGAATTAATTTTTCTAGCATACACCATCTCTTTGTAGAATCCCCAAATAAAAAAATCTATAGGGTTTAAATCTGGTGAGCGTGCAGGCCATTCGATTGGCCCTGCACGCCCAATCCACCTTCCTGGGAAAGTTCTGTTGAGGTGCTCCCTCACTTGTTTTTCAAAATGGCAAGGAGCACCGTCATTTTGAAATATCATATGCCTCGTCGTTTGTAAATTAACTTCAAACAATAAACCATTTAAATTATTTTGTAGAAAATTCAGGTACTTGGACCCGTTCAACCTAGACGACAATTCAAAGGGCCCAACCATTTCTCCATTTGTGACTCCTGACCACATGTTGATACTAAATCTATTCTGAAAATTTGACTGCCTTGCTTTTTTTGGGTTTTCAATGGCACAGCTATGATGATTATGAAAGTTAAAGACGCCAGTCCTTTCAAACCGGGATTCATCCGTCCAGAGTATCTTGTTAAAAAAATCCGGGTCTTCCGCAGATCTTTCCAGCATTATTTGGCAGAAAGCAACACGCCTTGGCTAGTCTGCGTCGTTAAGTTGTTGAACACGCTGAATATGAAACGCGTGATATCCCTCTGGAAAAAAAGATTTGTATTTTTATTGTAGGTTGTCATTGTACACAATACTAGAGGTACGTACCAATAGAGCACGTGAACGTGAAACTAAAAGTTGGGATTCGCTAGAGTGGCGTCCTAGCGCCTATTTTTGAATTACGAGCGCTTGTTTAAGGGTCTCTACATCTCTCTCTTTTACACGCACACACAACACATTAGACATCGACAATTCACAGTAAATTAAATGAGTGTGATTTGAAATGGCAGTGCAGCAATGTGTTGGGATTTTGAATAAAGAGGTCTACAAAATAATAAAATGCGCTCACCTGATTTCAGTATTCTTAAAACTGAAGTCCTTGGGATTCCAGTCCTTCTCGTAATCGCTCGTGAACTAGTAGAAGGGTCTCTTTCTACTTCTTCAATGATTACATCTCTTCTTTCTGGATCCACTCTGGGTAGTCCCTCGCGACGTTGATTACGCCCAGGAACGCGTCCAGCCATCAGGGTTTCGTGGGTCTTATTAAAAACCCTGTAGCCAGGGTAATGCTCTAACACTTCTCCTCGCCGCTCTAGTTGCTCTCGATAAAGCCGTGCCGCTAGTGCGCCGTTTCCTTGGGCAATGCCGTAGAAATAGTGCATCTCTGCGTATTGACTGAGAGAATAAGTCATTGCTAAAAGTAATCCAAATCACTAAGCAACTCAAGGGCCATAAAACAAGCACAGATCAATCGTAAGGCAAATCAAGAATCCGGGAAACAAAGCGAAGGTAGTCAAATAAGAGATCCAAATAAACGTAAACGTGAGTAGTGGTTGCACGCAAATAGAGCGCAAAGCAGGAATGTTTACCTGAGCCTTTGTTTAAAATTCCTTTGTGTGTTTGTGACTGAATGTGCTATCATTTAGTTTCAAAATTTCAAAATGATACCTTAATAAATGTCACGTTTTAACAATAAGTAGTTTTCTTTGCTAACCTGAAGCATTTACTATCTTAGTTTAGCCCTAGAAATGATAAAAAGATTTTTTAAATCAAATTAACTATTTAGGTAGTTTCCTTCCTGAGTAACTTCAGAAGTCTGTAACAGAAAAACTGGCCTATTAAGTGTCATTTTTTAAATGTTATTATGAAAGATTAAGGTACTGCAAAGTTTTTAAAATTAATTAGAAAGTATGAAATCATTTATTACTATTTTTCATTTAATGTTGAAAATTCAAGCCCCACTCTCCTGACAGAAAATTTTTAAGTTTCGTTTAAAATTATTGTATCTTCGGTGAATGTTAGGAAGCTAATTATTTTATGCATAATAGGGCAACTCATAAGGATCATGCTACAAACAAAAAAACTTGGAAAAAATTTCACAATTACATTTTTTTTAATGTTAAGCTGTTTAGGGTGAATATTTTCAAAAAAAGGGTAAAAAAAATCATAACTCGAAAACTACATAAAATCGCGTAACATGCATAAGGTATTTTCGGATACCCTTAGGTGTGAGGAATCAAAAAAAAATTTATAACCTCACTGTTTGGACCACCCTGTATAAATCGCCTGCTCCTTCCATCGCCTCTTCTAGTAGAAGTACGAAAATTAACAGCCCCAGACATATATCATTTGCCGATTCAATATCCCCATCCGAAAAATTACACACACATATTTGTATTAGGCTTACTTCATCTATCACATCAATTTTACATTGAATGATACATAGTACTTAATTACTAAATTACGACACTGATTAGACATGAAGCACCTAGGCTTACTACAGCGTACGCAACCTTTTTTTTAACAAGGAAATATTAAAGTAAGAATGATAAAGAATGAAAAATATTAAATAAGGAAATATATATTACAAAAATAATTATTTTAATTAAAATAGTTAGTTAAAATATAAGACAGTTGTCACCTGTCACTTTTACTTTTTTTTTTGAGAGGTCGACCACAAACGAAGTTATGCGTAAAATGCTTTGACTTTATCTTTAGCTGTTAAAATATTTTCGTCTCTACCTTAGAGATTCTTGTTCAAATTATTAAGGTGGCTAAAAAGATCTGCCAAAAATGCAAATTTCAAGAGCCAAATAAGGTCAGAAAAACGATTAGCATATTCAGATTTTTCATCTTGTAAGAACATTAACAGTTCAGCTTTCATTTCTAAAACTCTCGTCAAAACCTTTCCTTTGTATAGCCACCTGACCTCTGTGTGATAAAGGAGATTTTGATGAAGCGAGCCCATATCTTCACAAACGATTCTGAATAACCGGGTTTGCAAGGCTTTGCCTTTGATAGAATTCACAATTTTTATTACCTCCTTGAGCACGTCATTTAAATCAGAAGATACTACCTTAGCAGCTAGAGCCTGCCAATGAAGGAAACAGTGTGTCCAGGAGATGTTTGGCATTATCAATTTTAATTTCGCTATGAGTCCGCTATTTTTGCCAGTCATAGCTTTAGCGCCATCGCTACAAATAGCGATACATTTTTAACAATAAATATCGTAGTCGCAAGTGCTTTCTAAAATCATATCGTACAAACACTCGCCAGTAGTGTTTGCAGCAAGTGCTTTGCAAAATAACATTTCTTCCGTGATACTGTCATCTGCTTCAAAGCGCACAAATACTACAAACTGAGCACAATTGAAAAATCTGTAGATTCGTCGAACTGCAAAGCAAAATGTTGACTTTTTTAATTTTTCGACTACTTGTTCTTGAATATCATTGGCCATATCGTTTATTCTGCGTGATATAGTATTGTCAGAAAGTGGTATGTTTTTTAACTTGTTTGCCTCCTGCTTACTGACCATAATTTCAACCATATCAAGAGCTGCTGGCAAAATAAGATTTTCCGCAATTGTATGTGGTTTCCCTGTTTTAGCAACTCGATATGCGACTTTGTAGCTAGCTAATAATGCTGACTCGTTGACACTGGATGTCTGAAAATAAACCAAACAATAAAAAGTGAATATTTAATAAAATTTAAGGACGCGAAACCTTTGTACACCAAAATTAAGTATAATAAAAAGTTGTATGCAAACAACAAAGAAATAAAAATCATTAAAAATCAACAGTAAAAACAGCAACAATTAGAATAGACTCGACTTTAGCTTATCGCTAAGGGATTTGAGGGTCTTAACAACACAAGACTAGGAAAACACTATTTTATTACCGTAATCATAGTATTTTGCTGCTGGCTAAGAGTTTTCAACTTTCGTTCAAGGAAATCCAACGGCTTATCAGCTTCTTTTTGATGCTTGGTTGTGAGATGCCGCATAAGCTTTGACGGTTTCACACTCTCACGTTATAAAACATCGCCGCAAATTACACATTGAGGTTTATTATTTATGACTGTGAAACCCGTATTTCAAAATAACTGTCATCGTAATGTTACAAGCTTAGGGTTCGTGACAATAAAAACTGCCGATTGAATTACCAGAATTTATACTTTAATTCACTTTACACTAATTAAAACTTAAAACACTAATAATTAACCACACTGATTCACTTTATTTCGCTTCGAAGCTTCGCTTGTCTCGCCAAATTCAATACTGCTCCGACCGCGTCTTGCAGCGCCTTTAAATACACATTTTTCACGGAAACGTCCAGAATATTCAAGTAAATACGCGCGCTAACCGTTCAGGCGCAGAAAGTTCGAGTGTAGGGCTTCCAGAAAGCTTAATTCTTCTGTTCGATACTAGATGGCGCTGTTGGTCTAAAGTCAAGATTGACATTTTCAAGGAAGCCCTCCTCGCTATGGTCATCGACACTAGATGGCGCTAGTGCCGGGTACATGACGTCAACTCCGGCGCGCAACAGTAATGTCTATTTTTTTCGGGTTTGATTCACCACCACCGCTATTGACACAAGATGTTGAAGGCTGCGATCTTTTAAGAAACTTATCCATTTTACAAACGCGCGAAGCAAGCGAAAAAACAAAAGAATGACGTCCGTACTGCGCGGTGACTGCGCTCAACTGAACTTACTAATTTGATTTGTGCAACTGACTGAGAGTTGAAACAAAAGAACATTTGAAGGCGGCGGCGGGTGGTGCGCGCGAGTCGCGTTTGTGTTTGTTTCGTTAGTTTATTTGCATTTTTCTTGGGTGTCGCCATTTTAATTTTTGCAGGACTGTTGACAAATTTTTTGTAGATATAATTTTTCTTATTAAATTTTTCATTAATTTTCTTTAAATTCTGTTTTTTAACGATAATAATTCAATTTCTTTACGTGCGCTGTTTAATTGTAATGTTAGTCTTTTAATCTCATTTTTTAATATTTTTATTTGATCTTCGTCTTCAGAAATAGCTGGCAAACTGTTCGTTGTAAAATTTAAAGCTTGAGAAATAATATTGCTTTAAACGTCATTGTCATTCGGCTCGGATCGAGTTCGGGTGCGCCGGAACGTTATATTTTCCAAGAGATTCATTGTAAGGCCCGGTTTCCACTACGCCGAACCGGCAGATCTGCCGGAAACCGGACACCGGAGAGAGTGTTCACATTACATCGGATCCCGGAAGAAATTCAGACAGTCAAGTACACCTCAGTTGAATTTGGACCTGCGCGCACAATGGACGACGAAATTGTTGTGTTGTGGTAGTATCTTAATAGAAGGCAAAATAAAAGAAGACATTGGGTACACCCAATTTTACGGGAAAGATTTTCACTTGGAACATTTGAAACATTAATGGGTGAACTTAGAAGAGACGAATCAAAGTTCTTCAATTATTTTCGAATGACAGCAACCACTTTTGACGTTTTACTGGGACGACTAGACATAAGAGTACGAGATACAAGTTTCAGAGAATGTATTTGCCTAGAACAAAGATTAGCCATATGTCTAAGGTAAGATTATTTTATGCACTAGATTGCGTAATAATAGTTTTGACGTAGGTACCTACTTAATACTGAATGAATGAATGAATGTTTGCTATGTATTTTTGTTTGATGAATGTGAATATATATAATGTGTGTGTGTCGGAGGGTGTATATATTTGATAATCATTATGAATTAAAAATGCAAATAACTTATTTAAGTATTTATTTGTACTCAGACTTAAATCCCTTCAAAATCTAAATAATCTGAGACTTGGGAATGTATGGAATGATTACTAGATGCTGATGGCGAAGCTGGAATCGGATTCGATGTCTGAGATGAAGTTGATGGTATAGATGTTGTTGGACTATTATTATTGCGTAGAAAATCCAGGGTGGTGTTGATATGCGTAGGTGTTGCCTGTTGATTGACGCTATTATGTGTGTAGTATCCAGAATACTGATCTGGTCCGGTCATCTGATTATAATATGAATCACGCCAATGTCCGTAATTTGGTCTCTCATAATTCCTACTTTTAATTTTTTGCAACATTGTCATGACGCTAGCTTGAAATTCTAAAGTCTCTTCGATAGTTATAGTGTTCAAGATTGGTATAATGCCTTTGAAGAAAGACAGATGATGGTTTTCCTTTTCTGGGTTTATTCTGGAGTCCAAAAACTTTACCATCCTGTTATTTACCTCTTTATTATCAATTTTTCTTTTATCTTTAACTAAAGGTGAACGAAAATCTGATTCCATGCCTACTTCAGTCTCGGTTCTTGCTTTTTTTGAAACTGACTCATGTGGTGGTCGAGGTTCGGAGACTTTTATCAAAAACATTAATTGCTCGTGATATAAATAATTTCGTGTCTTTTTGGCCGAAGATGTAGATTTAGACTCATCTTTTTGTTTCTTTACTGTCTTAAGCCACGAATCTCGTATATTATTCAATTTAGTTGAAACCTGTTTGCCTGAAATCAATAAAAAAATATCATAAAACAATACAATTTGTTTCTTGGTGACGTATAAAGTAATAATGTATTAACAAAAAATACTTTTTTTTTTCAGATATTTAGCTCCAGGATGTTCATTCAAAGAAATACATTACTCATACAGAGTAGACGTTTCGACAATAAGTAAACTAATAAAAGAAATGACCCACGTCATTTGGGAAAACCTAAAGACAGATTTCCTTAAGCTGCCTGATACTGAGAGAGAATGGGAGGACATTGCTTTAGGATTCGAAAGAAAAGCCAACTTTCCTCACTGTCTTGGAGCAGTAGATGGCAAACATATCAGAATTTTGAAACCAGCCAAGATTGGTTCTATGTTCTTTAATTACAAGGAGTATTATTCTTTTGTATTAATGGCAGTTGTCGATTCAGAGTACCGATTTATTTTTATTAGTGTGGGCTCATATGGCAAGGAATGCGATTCTACTCTATTAAAGGATAGTACATTTTGGCAAAAGGTCAATGATGGTACTTTAATTGTACCAAAGCCTAGACCGCTTCATGAAAACTTGCACGAAGAATTACCGTTTATACTTGTTGGCGATGAAGGCTTTGAACTTTGAACACCTAATCTCCTACGTCCATATGGAGGTACACATTTGAATACTGATAAAAAGATTTTTAACTATAGAGTAAGTCGAGCAAGAAGGTATGTTGAGTGCGCTTTTGGTATTCTGGCAAATAAGTGGCGAATAATCCATCGAGCTATAGATCTGAACGTAGACACAGTAATTCAAGTAATTAAAGCTTGTACAGTCTTACATAATTTTGTAAGAGAAAAAGATGGTATAAATTTTGAAAGTTACCAAAATATAGAACATAGACAAGAACAAGAAACGACACCCATGAATCGGAATGTGTCGAGTCGAGGTGACCCCAATGCCAACGCTATACGGACATTATTTACTAATTATTTTGTTTCGGATATTGGTTCCGTTCCGTGGTAGGCAGCAGCTATAAAATAAAATTTATCAATGCATTTACATTTTATCAATAAAACATTAAAAACTCACCGTACTGTTTTCTTTCTTTTTCATCCAGTTCATCGAAGTTTGGTTTCAGTATTAAACATACTTCACGCCATGCTGCTAACTTTAAGTTTTTGTCTTCATAGACGTCTTCGGTCTTATCCCACAGAAAAGGTCTCTCTTGGACTAGCGTAATTAAAGTTTCTGCTTGAATATCTACGCTAAACGTCTACTTTTACCAGAAAATGCGAGCCGAATGACGTGAGTGGAACACGTGCGGGGCGAGGGGAGCACAAACTCGTTCACATTACTCCGGGCCCGGTCGTTCTACCGGCAATTCGTAGTGACAAAACGCTCGGTAAAAATGCCGGGCTCGGCAAAAATGCCGGACCCGGGATAATGTGAATAGCTTCATATAAATTGTACAGCCACTAGCCCTTCCGTCAGATTAACCGGCGCGGCAGATCTGCCGGTCCGGCGTAGTGGGAACCGGGCCTAAGTATACGTCTAAACTATCAAAAAGTATGGTCTAGTGGGATACGAACCCGAGCCTACCAACTTCCGAGTTGGTTAGTCGCACCGTTAGTCCAAACGGATTAGTTTAGAAGGGACCAAATTGGCGTTCGTATTCTGGCCATAAGATGTGACTTGAATTACTGTTTCATTTGAGTAATCGTACAGTCAATAGATGTCTCTGTACTTAATATTTTTAATAACAACTATAAAAATTTCGCTCTAGTAATACAGTTTATTGGTTGGTAACAATACTGAACATGCAGATTGGTGTTTAGGGGCTGACGCAAGATGTCGTTGCAGACGCACCGTTTCACATAAAAAACGAATGTTTTTGTGAACTTTGAAAAATCACTTAAAGTATCTATCACTTATAGTTTTGTTCTTTATGTCTTTATGTATTATACCATTTTCACTAAATAGTCGTGTATATATTTTCAATAAGTTTTTAGTATCACACAGAAATATTTTAGTCACAGAATTTTCTGCATATTTAAAATTTATATTTGTATAGTTCTAAGTAGAAAATATGTTAAGACAACATTTTTACACACACATTGCAGTGTTTTATTTACTTTTTTTTGATAAATTTGACCAAATTAAGTTCATTAAACTAAATATTTTAAGGAATTTTAATACGGGAGCACAATGTTTACACGGTAGTTGTCTCTGGCTCTCTGGCTACTCTCTTACCGAGTAATGTATCCTATAGTGCACATGAATTTTCAAAGATGAATGTCTGGCTACTTGGTAGTGTGCATTATTAGATACATGGTATAAAAACATAACTAAATATGGCAAATTTTTTAATTTATATTTTTGGTGTCTATTTAGCATCTATTATGGGTATACTCTTCACTTATTCTTCCATACAAACGTAGTATGGCGATTTCTCCACTGTTTGATGGTGTACGTTTAAAATAAAAAATGATTTCAATTTGTCTCATCATTATCTAGCCCTGTATGGAAACAAAAAAGTAAAAAAGAGTATGTTTAAAAGTTATAAGCGTCGAAAATTCCAAATTTCAACACTAGTTTTAACACATCTTTGGGCGGAAATAAATACCACAAGAAGAATGAAAATTACAAGACAGTTACCATACAGGGATAGATTAGTTGTTGAAAAATGAAAATAATTTTATTTTGAACAGATACATTCAATAGATTTTTCATGACATCCAGACTACCAAATGTCTGTTTATAAAATTTCGCGTGCTCCTTTTTGTTGTAAATCATTTTGCCTTTCGCTACAAATTGTTTCCCCGATCAGTGGGACGGACGGAGGGGGGGGGGCGCAGCGCGCACTCACATATGCTCACTAGCTTAGCCGCTGCTATCTATTTGTGGTTGTAATACCTACATATCTACATCTTTATTTAAAAAAAATTGCTTCCTTTTGTTCGTGTCCATTGCTGAAGCCGGGATGAATATAGCTGCTAAAATGTGCCCATAAGTTTGTTGAAGCACATTTAGTTAAAATTGAAAACAGGCGGGTACATAATAATGAACTTTAGATACAGGTAGTACATTAGGTACTTACTACTTTAATTTGCTAACTAACGAAAACATCTCATAGATAAGCACGATTATCGAAAATCTTAAAATTATCTATTAATGATACACCCGATATGCCGAAACAAACTCAGAGAGGTCAGTCCAGGTATTACATTGGTCATGTCATACGAGAACCAGGCTAATATGGTCCTTTGAAGAAAGAATCATACAGATGTGAGTGGACAACTAAGTACTTTTTAGGATTCCTTTCCCGAAGGGTAAACAGCAGGGCCCTATTACGAAGCCTCCGCTGTCCGTGTGTCTGTCTGTCAGTGGGCTGCATCTCATGATCCGTTGTAATTTTCACAGAATGTGTATTTCCGTTGCCGCTATAACAGCAAATAGTAAAAATAAATTTGAAATTAAAGGATTTTCTACTAGAAAAAGAAACGTGTATTTTTGGCTTTTCTTGATCGATAGTAATATGTATTTAAATCTTGTAAGATGGTACGGAAGCTCGAAAGTCGGATTCGCACTTGGCAAAATATTTGTTTATATTTAACATTACCTCAGACATACTCATATTTTTTATATATAATTTACTATACTACTATATAAGCTATAAGCTACTACTAAATAAAATAGTAGTAGCTTTGCTATGGTATTATAGTATAGTTTTGATTAGATTTAATTTATTACAGAATAATACGAACTATATAAAAACTAAGGAGCGCATCAACCTACCTCAGATATTGGGTTATGAATACAGATAAGTACACATACCGCCTTATTCCCAAACACGGACTAAATATGGTACTGGAGTTGGTATCAGGTTTATACCATAACTAAATAAAACGTTATTCCAAAACGAAGATTATCTATCTATGGTACTAAAGTTAAACTTCCGAGACCCCTAGTTTAACTATGGTACCAACCTCAAATTCAGCACTTCTTTATTTGACGTTAGCGACCGTTGTTTTCATTTCGTGTTTTTAATCGTTAAAAATGGATATAAACATGATTGACTTGATGGATTTAGAAGATTTGGACATGTTAGAGACCACTCGGCGACCTGATAGACATCGTCAACGTGTGAATCCTTTTGAATTGAGTGGCGAAAATTTTAGGTATAAGTATAGGTTCTCAAAACGTTTCGGTAAAAAAATTGTGGATCTTTTACGTGAGGATTTAGTGCACGATTCTTGAGGATGCCCACTGAGTCCTGAAATCCAAGTAGTTTGTGCATTACGAGGGTGGCACTGAAAATTTCGGGAATTAAGGAAGTGACAAAACATTACTATTTAAAAATGTATTTATTGCTTTTCGAAGTATTCTCTGCGAAATTTGACACATTTTTCCATACGATGGAACCAATCATTGAAGCAACCATTCCATTCGGAAGTTGGGGTCTCCAAAATGGCCGTTTTGTAGTCGTCCACAGCTTCTTCAGGTGATGAAAATCTCTGTCCACGCAATTTACTCTTTATTTTAGGGAATGTATAGAAATCATTAGTTTAGGTTGGAGCTTTACGGCGGATGATCTAATAATTCCATGTTTTCTTGCTATAAAAATTCTTTTATTCTGTGTGCGGTGTGAGAACTCGCTTTGTCGTGATGGAGGATGATGCGGCGGTTGCAGTTCTCTTTACGGAGTTCAGAAACGACCTGTGGCAAACAAATGCTAGCATACCATTCTGCATTAACCGTTCTCCCTCAAGAGGAATAGTCGTAAGATGGCCGATTTTGGAGACAAACGTGGCCACTATTTTTTTTGCAACACACCGTGAACGAACAATTTTTGTTGGCTTTAACTCATTTTCTAACACCCAAACTCGTGACTGGTTTTTTGTTTCGGGTTCGTATGCGTATATCCAGGATTCGTCAGCTGATACGATGTTGTATACAGTATTTGAGGATCCTGCGTGGAATCTTTCGAGAGTTCTGACGCACCAAGTAACGCGAGCCGCTTATTGCTCTTCACAGAGCGAATGCGGTATCCATCTGGAAAACAACTTTTTTACACCTAATTGTTCATGCAAGATTATTTGTATTTGACTCATGCCAATGTCTAAAGTTGCCTGAATTTCGCGGTATGTCACATGTCGATCTTCCTCAATCAGCTTACGCACAGCATCAACGTTTTCTTGGGTGACTGAGTGGAGGAGGGGATCATTGAGACACGTCCACGTTGAAATTCAGCAAACCAGCGATAAATTGTGGTTTTAGATGGGGATTCACCACCAAATGCAGAAATCATCCGGTCAACACACTGTTTTTGTGTTAAACCACTTCGAAAGTCATAATAAATCATCGCTCTTGAATTTTCTCGAGTCAATTTCATTTTCTCAAAGACTAAACAAGTTTGACAAAACCTTGTGACAAGACCGAGAATCTTTTTTTAAATAAATAAATGGTATTCGATTTTTAAAACCAAGGAGTTTTCAATAAAAAAGATTTTAATATGACAAGAACAGTGGAAATATTCCATTCCCGATACTTTTAGTGCAGCCTAGTACGCAACTGGGCTCGCCATGAAGTAAGTGCTATTTAATAATCTTGGTCAATGTATCCAACATAACGCTAGATAAAAAGCCAAAAAATACATATTATTGTTTTATTCGTAGATTCAAGACGATACAGGTGATTTACATAGTGTGTCTTAACCAATAGTCAGTAGGACATGTAAAAAAGTAGCGGAAATTTTGTCACGGATGTCCCGAGAATTTATTAAAATGCCTACCCTATTTAAATGAACAACAGGAAACCATTATGAAATTCGGCAGTATTGCTTATTTTCTTACAGTAATTGGCGCAATTGACTGTACTCATATAAGAATAAAGAAAGTAAATGCTAATGGGGGTCAGTTATATATTAATAGAAAAAGGATTTTCTTCAATTAATGCACATATGTAAAATATTTTATAATTGTCTCTAAATTACTTTACTTTACCAAAATAGAAAATAATTTGTTTGACTATTATTTATATTAATTGTATTATTATATTATTTATATAATTTAGTAAATATATTTAGTATACAAAATAAAGTTATTTCTGTGTAAGACATATAAGTAATTTTTTTTACCACTGCATCACTATCATAATCGTTAATTTCAATGACAAAGTCGTGAGGAGCAATTGCCATAATTTGTAAGTCCTCAGGAGTAGGTGATGGTGGT